ATACATATAATAATAATAATGTTCTTAATGTGAAGTAAACATAATTAGCAAGAAAATCAATTGAATGAACAATACTAAAGCTTAATTAAGTTCATAAAAGTGAGATTTTTTAAAGTGAGATGTTTTAATAAATCTAATTTATCATTTCTAAAAAATACTTTTTAATAAATTACATGCACACACATACAAAATACGTGCATGCGTACATTGCTATATGTCATCTTTCAAAAAGAAGGCTCTTTATAAGAATTTAAATTAACGATTTGTGGCATATCAAAATCAATATTTTTTCTTATTCTTGAATATATTTTTGTAATTTATGAAATACAAATTGTCTAGTATTCAAACTACTGTTTTATGATTTTTTTTCCAAGATACGTTAAATAATATGTCAGATTTATATATGTATGTTGTTGTCGCAATTGCAAAGTGCCTTCTTTCTTTTTCTCTCACTTTTTCTAAAAAAAAAAAAAAATAGCAAGATAATATAATTATTTTAGAAAAGTTTATAACTATCAAGACTTCTCCAAGTAACCCCAGTCTTCCTTGATTAAATCTGCTGCTTTCTCGGCAATCATATAAATAGGTAAGCTTATGTGTCCTGATATAATTTCGGGCATAATGGATGCATCTGCCACTCGTAAACCTTGAACACCAAACACCTGTAAAACATCGTATATGAACTCAAAATATAATAAATTCAAAATATAATAAATTCTAATATAGATTTGCACGTTTTATTGTATTCTACATAAATATGTAGTGCGTTTTTCGAGCAAATACCTTTAATCTAGGATCAACGACAGCAGTTGGGTCTCCTTTAGGTCCCATTTTGCAAGTGCCAGAGAAGTGAAAGAGTGTAGAAGCTAGCAGCTTTAGCGCGCATGTCCAATAATCATTAGAATCATACTTGTAGTTATTGCATTCGGTATAAGTAATGTTAAACAATTGGGAATCTAACGCTCGCATCGATTTTGTCTGACTAATATTTAATGCAGCTCTAATCCCGGCGATCATTGTTTTTACGTCATCTGGATGGTCTAAGTAATTCGGTACGATCTCTGGTTTAACATTAATGTCATTAGCGAGGAGAGTTATTCGACCACGACTTTTTGGTTTCAACAGTATTATTCCTAAAGACCAACCATGACTACCGATCTGTTCATCCCATTTTTGACGTAATGACTTGTTTAGTTGTAATATTCTGGAGAAAATATAGTCTCCTTTAAATGAAGCACTAGCAAATAATAATTCGACGTCCGGTGGACTATCACGTTTCTCAGGGTCTTCAGTGTTGATGAAGCCGATAACCTCGCACGCGCTTGGAACCGTTAACGGTCCTGATCGTTTTATTAAAAAATCCGTTAGATATGGATTAAAAGGATTTATCTGATTCAATAATTCTATACTTATCGATGCATTTATCATCCATGTCAGACCATAATAAGTAATATGATCCATGAGATTCTCGCCAACTGGCGCATCTCGGACGACCTGTATGCCGAGTTTGTTAAGTTGTTTTGCTGGTCCGATGCCGGATAACATCAACAATTGGGATGTTCCGATGGTACCCGCACACATAATCACTTCTTTGCTTGCGAATGCGCGTATAGTTTGATCGCCCTTAACGAACTCTACACCGATTGCTCGATTCGTGTTAGGATCGATTAACAATTTTTTCACTGTACTTGTAAGAGTCACGTGAAGATTCTTGCGATCGCGCGCGGGATGTAAATACGCCTTGTTGCTGTTAATACGCATGCCATTCATGATTGTGCTCTGTATATATGAGAATCCCATCATACTTTTTCCATTATAATCTACCAGAGAATATCCCAGCTCTTTGACAGCTTTCACAAAAGCCTCTGCCAATGGTGTATGAAATTCTGCTTGGCTAATATGTACTGGTCCCTCGGTACCGCGATAGATACTATCCTTCAATTTTGGCACATCTATTGTTTCCAGTTTTTTAAAATACTTGAGTACGTCCTTATAGGCCCAGCCCTCATTTCCCATTCTAGCCCAGCGATCGTAATCTTCAGCTGCTCCTCTGCTAGCAATCATGAAGTTTAGTACACTGCTACCGCCAATCACTCTTCCTGTTGGCCATGCGCAGCTGTTGTCTTTCATGCCCCGACAGTATTTGTCGGATGGCTTGGTTTGGTAGTTCCAATTGATGTTGCTCAGCTGCAGGAGACCAGTGGTCAGCGGAATGCCCATGAAAAGATTATCGTAGGTTCCAGCCTCAATTAGCAGTACTTTGACTTGAGCAATTTCGCTTAATCTCGCAGCTATAGTCGCACCTGCCGTACCAGCGCCGATCACTATAAAGTCGTATGTGTCTCCGGATTGTGGCGTTACGTCTGGTACTTGCTGAGCTAAATATTGACTATTCTCTCTCAAAAAATTTATGGTTCCCGTACCAAGCATTAGCAGGTTCATTAATCTTGTTCCTCTTGTATCGTTGCCATAAAGATGGGAGTACTTGTTTGGTAGGTACAATTGTAACAGGCCTATCATAACGGCGATGAAAACAAAAAAAATTGATATTTTTCGCAACATATTTTTTGAAAAAATTGAGACAACTATTTCTTAATGACAGAATCGTTCTTTGATTATTTCCCACAATAATAAAGAAATATATTTAAATACTTGATATATACATATATCTATTATGTTTTATATTTATGTAAGTATCACTATAAACACATTACAATTTATACAATTTACACACAGACTACACCACAAATAAAAATCACATTATCAAAGCCTCAATTCGAAAAAATCCTTTTTAACAAATTTTGACGAATTGTCTCACAAGCTGTGACTGTTCAGTTCAACTGTTAAGTTTGAAATGAATATCATGTTAAAGTAAATGTCATGTTAAGTATGTTTATATCCCATTTTCAAAGCAATCTCCAGCTCGAAGCACATGTCCAGGTCGAGACACATGTAACGTCACTATCACGAATATTTTCTTGTTCGACCATTAAATAACGCTCGTGACGTCAATGAGATATGAATCACATAAGAGTGAAGAATCTGAATACATAGGAGTTGAATATGTAATGCTATGATGTAATATCCATAAAAACTGACATCTTTGAACTCTCAACTTTGATCTCTAATTAATATTCATTATGTTTCATTCTGTTGAATAATTCAAATAATTGTATTTACTATAACATTGAACATTATTATTACAATATTGAATATTATTAAAATTATTATGAATACGATATATAAAGAAAATAAATCTGGTTTCTTAATTATATATTATATTTACAAATAAATTAACATGAGTTAAACCTATATGATTTGATTATTTAACTAATTTTGATCTTTTTAATTTATATTTATATATTTTAATAGTTATTTATTTTAATATTTATATATTTTAATAATTTATATATTTTAATTTATGTTTATATATTTTTTAAATTATATGAGAAAGAATGGAATTTATTTTATTTATAAGTCTCATATATTTTTTCTGCCAAGAATATAAAAGCACAATAAAGTAATATCTATTAAAAAAAAATAGGATAAAATTTTAAGATAATCTAACATATATTATATATAAATTAATAGCATTTAATTTAATACTATTCACATAACAATTTATATAAAATTAATAACATAGTGTAACAATTAATAACATATACATAGTGTAAATTAATAAATATCAAACTTGTCTAGGATAATAAAAATACTCACATCGTTAATAATCTTTAAGATTTATCGAAATGTCAAAATATACATTTTGTAACGATAACTTCTTGTAATAATAACAATGACGTATTTTAATAAACGAAGATTTTATAACGAAGATTAATTAAAGTCCAAAGTTTTTACAAGAAAAGAGGGTGATAGCAATTCTAAAATTCTAACATTTAAAAATTTTCAACAATTCAATTTAAATATTAACAAATGAAGTTTATAGCAAGAACCAAACTTACAACCAAATTTTATAAATAAAATTCACAACATTCTGTAATATTGGATTTTATACTACAACGTCTTCTTTAGAATTTATAATTTGGTTTTTGGTTTTTAAGATAGCAATCTGACATATCTATTTACATATTCTATTTACATATTCCTATTTATATTCTGTATTTCAATGTATGTATCAATGTATGTATGTTTGTATAATTACAACATATATGTATTCTGTACGATTTTTTAACCGTTTTCATAATACATAAGACGATAAGTAAGATACTATTCCGAACTTTGAATGCATCGGGAAGTCTTATCTCGTTTAACGGAAAAATTTAATGATATGAACCATCTACGAACCATAAGTAACTACAATGCAATATCAACAACAACTTTGTATATTTGTCTATTAACATATTGTGTATTAACATATTCATTAATATATATTAGCTTATCTATTTCATTGCTCGCGGTTCATGACTTGGCACTTATCGATCTCAGAGCGCATGGCTTTCCAGATTTTTGACGAAAGCGTGTACCTTGCCAAGAACGCGATGAAGTATACGCGCGGGCATATATCATGGATCGGTTCCAAAACAAACTTCATTTGCATGGTAGCGTTATGCACCGATGACATGGCATTAGGCTCGGTCGCGATGTATATATATATAT